TAAAAAGAGCCATATTTATTTGTTGTGTGTGTGTGTGTGTGTGTGTGTGTGTATATATATATATATATATATATATATAAAAAAATAAAAATCTGGATATGCAAGAGTCTCTTAAAATACTAAAATTGTCTAATAATGTGTGGTTAGTTTGGTGCAGTCTGTTTAATAACCCCGCTTCATTACAGGAATCCTTAATTCTCCTCTACCAGAGTACTACATCAACTTGCTTTATCATATTGATGGAGACTGCTTCACTTGATGTAAAGAGGTGTATTAAAAACAAAATAGATTTCAGCAGACTACTGCCCATATAAGTAGTCAAAACAGCTACAACTGGAGCAAACAGTACCCTCCCTTTGACAGGCAAGACCAGCCTGTCCAATTTTAATTAAACAGGATGTATATTTATTTTTTTAAATCTCTATTGTTGGTACCCTAAGGACTGGAATGCTTAATATATCATCTAGTATTCACCAAGGCCAAGTCTACACTACAAAATTAAGCCAACCTAAATTATGCTGACATGAATCAATTTAACATGTCCACACTGCATTCCTTCTGTCAGTGGTGCATGTCCTCACCAGAAGCGCTTGCACCGATTTAACTGCCAGTTCCTGTGTCCTCCAGATCAGTTAAGGCACACTAAGGGCACGTCTTCACTACTCGCCGGATCGGCGGTTAGCAATTGATCTATTGGGGATCGACTTATCGCGTCTAGTGAAGACGCGATAAAATCAATCCCTGATGGCTCTGCCGTCGACTCCGGAAATCCACCGCGGCAAGAGGCGGAAGCAGAGTCGATGGTGGCGCGGAGGCAGTCGACTCGCCGCCGTCCTCACAGCCAGGTAAGTCGACCTAAAATACGCAACTTCAGCTACACTATTCACGTAGCTGAAGTTGCGTATCTTAGGTCGAGACATCCCCCCCCCCCCCCGTAGTGTAGACCTAGCCTAACAGAGCAACATGAAACTTGCACAGCCACTGCTCATATTGTATCTATTGTGTCTTGTGACTAGTTAGGCTGCCAATCCAATCCTTGGAATTACATTTATTTTTTAATAAGTACTTACTTGAATCGTGCAGGTGAAAGTGGAGTCGGAGGAAACATTCCTGGTTCAAAGGAATCAAAATAAGTCACCGTCCAAGAAAAGCTGCAGCATGAGAGCCCTGTCATCAAGGCTAGAACAAACAGACCCCAAAATCCTTCACAGGGAATAAAGAAAAGTTGCTATAAGTTTAACACTAAATTTCAGAAGGTTTTCTACAGAACACAACGTTGCAATATAGCACAAATGTTCTACACCCCTGAAACAAAATGGTACATTTCTAGTTCTTTTTATCTTAATCATATACCGTTTAGAGAGACAAGGTGGGTGAGGTAATATCTTTTAATGGACCAACTTTTGTTGCTGTGTGAGAGACAAGCTTTTGAGCTTACACAGAGCTCTTCACCTGAAGAAGAGTCATAGACTTTAAGGTTAGAAGGGACCATTATGATCACCTATCTAGTCTGACCTCCTGCACAATGCAGGCCACAGAATTTCACCCACCCACTCCCGCAACAAACCCCTAACTTATGTCTGAGCTGCTGAAATTCTCAAATCACCTTTTAAAGACTTCAAGGTGCAGAGAATCCTCCAGCAAATGACCCATGCAGCAGAAGGCGGCGAACCCCCCCCAGGGCCTCTGCCAATCTGCCCTGGAGAAAAATTCCCCAAATATGGCGATCAGCTAAACCCTGAGCATGTGGGCAAGACTCACCAGACAGACACCCAGGAAAGAATTCTCTGTAGTAACTCAGATCCCACCCCATCTAACATCCCATCACCGGCCATTGGGCATATTTACTACTAATAGTCAAAGATCAATTAATTGCCAAAATTAGGCTATCCCATCATACCATCCCCTCCACAAACTTATCAAGCTTAGTCTTGAAGTCAGATATGTCTTTTGCCCCCACTGCTCCCCTTTGAAGGCTGTTCCAGAACTTCACTCCTCTGATGGTTAGAAACCTTCATCTAATTTCAAGTCTAAACTTCCTGATGGCCAGTTCATATCCATTTGTTCTTGTGTCCACATTGGTACTGAGCTTAAAGAATTCCTCTCCCTCCCTAGTATTTATTCCTCTGATATATTTGAACCTCCTTTCATAAGACAAGTTTTCCATTCCTCAGATCATCCTAGTAGTCCATCTCTGTACCTGTTCCAGTTTGAATTCATCCTTCTTAAACATGGGAGACCAGAAATGTACAAAGTATTCCAGATGAGGTCTCACCAGTGCCTTGTATAACAGTACTAACACCTCCTTATCTCTACTGGAAATACCTCGCCTGATGCATCCCAAGACCACATTAGCATTTTTCATGGCCATATCGCATTGGCAGCTCATAGTCATCCTGTGATCAACCAATACTCCGAGGTCTTTCTCCTCCTCTGTTACTTCCAACTGATGAGTCCACATCTTATAACAAAAATTCTTGTTATTAATCCCTAACTGCACAACCTTGCACTTTTCACTATTAAATTTCAGTTACTCCAGTTTACAAGGTCATCCAGATCTTCCTGTATGATATCCCGGTCCTTCTCTGTATTGGCAATACCTTCCAGCTTTGCGTAATCCGCAAACTTTATTAGCACACTACCACTTTTTGTGCCCTGGTCAGTAATAAAAAGATTAAATAAGATTGGTCCCAAAACTGATCCCTGAGGAACTCCACTAGTAACCTCCCTCCAGCCTGACAGTTCACCTTTCAGTATTACCAGTTGTAGTCTCCCCTTTAACCAGTTCCTTATCCACCTTTCAATTTCCATATTGATCCCCATCTTTTCCAATTTAACTAATAATTCTCCAGGTGGAACCGTATCAAATGCCTTTCTGAAATCGAGGTAAATTAGATCCACTGTGTTTCCTTTGTCTAAAAAAATCTGTTACCTTCTCAAAGAAGGAGATCAGGATGGTTTGGCATGATCTACCTTTTCTGTGTCAGCTCAAAAGCGTGTCTCTCACACACCAAAAAGAAGTTGGCCCAATAAAAGATATTACCTCACCCACTTGTCTCTCTAATATCCTGGGACCAACATGGTTACACCACCTCTCCATATACCATTTAATTGTTATCTATAGTTCTGTGTACCAATAAAAAAAAAAAAAACTAGAGCAGAAACCTTTGCAAAAGTGAAAGTTAAGTGATTTAAACTCAATCTAAAATTGCTCTATGTTTTTAGACTAGCTCCAGGCTTTAGACCCAGGGAGAGCGCCGAGATTCTAGCTACAAGAGGAGCTCTGGTTTCAACCCCAGCGCTCCCCCTCTAGTTAAAGCCCTGAGCCCCGGCACCCTCCACCGGCTGAAATCCAGAGCAGAGCCATGGGGAGCCCCAACTCCAGGCGCCCCCCGCGGGTCTAAAGCTGGGAAATGGAGCCGTGGGGCTGAAGCCCCAAGCCCCAGCACTCCTCCCAGGTCTAAAGCCCTGCCCCCACAGGAGCACCAGGGCTCAGAAGCCCCAAATGCTGCCCAGAGCCCTGACCACCCCTGCACCTTGCGGCTGCAACTCCCACCCCCCCCCCCCCCCGGGCTGAAGCCCGTAACATCTTGTTCAGAGTTACGGCACATTTCAGAGTTACGAATAACCTCCATTCCCGAGGTATCCGTAACTCTTAAGTTCTACTGTATGGCCATTCTTATGTTATGTTTAGGGCCCTACCAAATTCACGGACCATGAAAACTGGTCTTTTGTGTGCTTTTACTTTATACTACACAGATTTCATGGGGGAGACCAGCGTTTCTCAAATTGGGGATCCCTGACCCTAACGGAAGTTGGGGGGGGGGTCACAAAGTTATTTTAGGACATTGCCACCCTTACTTCTGTGCTGCCTTCAGGGCCGGGTGGCCGGAGAGTGGTGGCAGCTAACTGAGGGCCCAGCTCTGCAGGCAACAGCGCAGAAGTAAGGGTAGCAGTACCACAACACCCACCCCCAATAACCTTGCAACCCCCCCTCCCCTCAACTGTTTTTTGGGTCAGGACCCCAACAATTAAAACACAGTGAAATTTCAGGTTTAACTGGCTGAAATCATGAAATTTAAAATTTTTGAAATCCTATGGCCATGAAATTGACCAAAATGGACCCTGAATTTGGTAGGGCCCTAGTTATTGTCTTAAGAATAAAGGACAAGATACATGCATGCACTGTATGTCGTTTTCGGCTAGTTATGACAGTAAATTCTCAACTTCCTCTGAGGAAAGTATCTACCAAATGTGAAAGAGCCAGTTGTGTGTTTGCAGAGAACAAAATAAAACAGGCAGCTTTTTCATGGTTAGATTTCAGCCTGGGGGAATTAAAAACAAACAAAACAAAAAAAATCCAACCCCCTCCTCCACCTATGAGATAATGAATGTAAAATAATTTCTTCCATATTCCAATTTTTACAAATAAGTGGAGAGAAGTATGTACTTAACATAAAAGTTCCTTGTGAGCTCTACATGGATTAGGTTCTGGCTATACAAGGCACTCTCCACCACCTGCTTCTGGGGCAGTGTCAGAAATAGTAGACATGCCCTACCAATAAATGAACTGAGTCACAAGCTCCCCCTTGTTGTCCAAAGAACCCGAGTGTTTACTCAATATGGCTGTTATTTAAGACAAGGTGTTTTTTAGCCTCCTTTGAACTGCAGAAGCACTGAAAGAATCATACGAATGCATACCTAGCAAGCCAGTTTCTATACCATCTTCATTCTTCTCTTTCTCGGAGCGCAAATCTACAGAGGAAGGAATCAGTTATGAAACAGCAGTTTCAGAAAACACCAGCAGGTGCTCACTGTGCCGCAGCTACCCGCCGGTTCTCTGAGTAGTCTGTCCTTAAGAAGGGACAGTTACTAGTATCCCAAAACTACACTCCTGCCTCTCTGCCAGGCCCGCGCCCTACACCACGGCACCCGCAGCGCTGGGCTCGGACTGGCGGGACCCGGTTTTAATCCCCACCTCACCGAAACGACCCCCGCCGTGGCCGGGGAAGACACCCCGGCTGCAAGCGGGACCGATCCCCCCAACTCACGAGTCCTGCAAGGGCAGGGACCTCGGGTCGCGGGCAAAAGCGGTCCCCTCACCTTTGAGCACGAGGCAAGCGATGGCCAGGAGGAAGGCGAGGGCGGAGACGGCCAGGAGGCAGCACAGCATCGAGCAGGCCCGGGCCGGCCAACGTTTCCCCCCCGGCGGAGCCATCGACACGCCATTCCGCTTGTGGGACAGCGGCGGCAACGGGGCCCCGCCCTGGGACACAGAGACACCGCTCACTGCCTCCTCCTCCTGCAGCAGCTCGGCCTGCAGACTCCGAGCCACCACTCCGCCCCCCAGCCAGGGCGTCCCGGGGGTCGCCCCCCGCCTGCTGAACCTGCCCATCCGCCCGCTGTCGCCCACAGCCAGGGACATGGCGGAGCCTGGAAGCCGCCCGGCCGGGAGGCGCGAAACACGGGCCACAGGGTCAGGCTCAGGCCGAGGCGGGGTTGCCCAAATTGACGCCTACTCCTCTTGCGTCACCAGGCACCTACCAACCAGACTGCCCGGAGGGGTGGCTAGGAGATTCTAGCAAGAATTGCTGACCCGGAACAGACTAGAAAAGACTGAACGCGGCACGTACCAACTCAGGTCAACGAAGGGGAAGCCAAGATAACGTCTGTAACGAGGCACCTACCAACTCTCCCCCGAGGGGTGGTTGAGGACCGCGCACGAGTATCATTGATAGGAGACTAAAGAAAGCGCGCTTCTTGCCCCCCTCCTTAGGTGTCAGTAGTTCCGTCTAGCTTCCTTAGCCCCGCCTGCATCGCCCACGTGACCCCTTTCCCAGCGTTCCCTCCACTCGTCCCCCCCGCCGCAGTTTCTTCCCCCTCGCGAGCTCCGGAGGCCAGCGCGAGCAACCCTCGCGCGTCCTCTCCCCCGGTGAGCGACGGCCCCCAGCGCGCTCGACCGCCCTTTCTTCCCCCTTCCTCTAGCCGTGCGCGTTCCCTTATCTGGCGCGACCCCCCTTGCGCGCCCGATTCCGGCGCGACCCCTTTCTCTCCCGCTCCCCGCGGCGCTGGGCCTCTTTAGGCGCCCGATCCCGGCCAGGGTCCCCTCGTTCCTGCCTGCCGGACGCCGCTAACGGTTTCGTGTACGGCTTCCGGGGGAGACTCCGCGCGTCCATCCGTGTGCCGGGCTGGGCCGGGGGTCGCGATGTCGGGCGGGGACTCGGCGGCGGCTGCGGCCTCCCCTCAGCCGCTCCCCTTCTCCTTGCCGAAGCCCCCTCCCCTCATGCAGCTGACGCCGGGGGACGCCGTCCGCCCCGTTGCCTCCGCTGCGGACCAATCGCCGAAGAGTTCCCGGTTGGGAGGCCGCCCGGATTGGCCGGGTGGGAAGCCTGTCAGCCTCCTGGCCCCGCTGCTCCCGCCCCGCGGTGAGCCCGAGCCTCTAATGCCCTTTGGCCCCTCGTCGCGGCAGCAACTTAGAGGGAGGCTTCTTGGCAGGTGTGGCGGGGGGGGCCTCCTGAACCCCTCGATGAGGCCGGGCGGAGTGGATAGAGGATCCCTCATGGTAAGTGAAGGGTTAAACGCTGCAGCGGGGAGGGGGTGGGGACCTGCCTGGCAGCGTCGGGGGGAGGAGGAGGAGGAGGGAGATGGCTCCCGGCTGCATCCTGGAGGGGGCACCTCTGTGGGCGTGTAACACCATGGGAACAACTCTGCTCCCTTTCCTGGGAGCCTGGGCTAGAGCCAGAAGGGAACCAAGAGCAGTAAGAGTCTGGTGGCATCCTCTCAGGCCTTTCTTAGAAGCCCCTTCAAGGGAGTTACAGGCTCAGCCACAATAGGACTAGTGCAGCCAGAGCGATTCACGTGGGGACACTAATGCATTTCTAATGGCTCCTATTAGAGTTGGAGAGGAAAGGGTCCTCTGTCCCTTTGTGGGGCTGGCTTGTTCTCCCACTAAGCTCCTCTTAGACTGTAAGCTCTTTGGGGCAGGGACTCTAGCACTTTCTTTTGTGAAAAATGCCATGTGCCCTTCAGGAGCTGTCTGAGGCAGAGTTCTGAATGTAGTTTGAGTCCCTGCATTTCTGCCTTGGGGGTCTAGGATTAGGAGTCCATGGAGAATCTTTGTTTCTGTAGTCGGTACTGCAAAGAGAGCTGGCCTATGTGAGATCCCTAGGAGAGCGTGGCAAGTGCAGTGTTATTGCTGGGATGAGATGTTCTCATCACAGTGAAACTAAGAGAAGGGCTTGGAGGTCTGGGGGCAACTGGTTGGTAGTTACACCTGGGAGAAAAAGAGGAGGAAAATGGCCTGAGATCAGAAAGGATAACTGTTCTTGCCTATCTAGGGGTGTGAGGAGGGAACTGGGCAGACTTTGTCTTTCCACCCATTGATTATTTGTATAACATCTGGAGTTAAAGAAATGAGTAAGTTGCTGTTTCTACTGCGAGATCTAAACTTGCTCAGGAGTTTAAAAAAGTACTTTGTGTTACTTCCTAAATGTGCAGTTTATGTGCTTTTCTACTAACCTAAAATTTTCAAGTTACTCTCTCAATTGTATTATCCTGGTGGGATAATAATATTACATATATTCCAGCACAATAAGTATGATAAGCAGAGAAAAGTACAATTATATTTTACAATACTAGTTGATGTTATATTGGTAGCTAAGCTAATGTTGGTATATTGAAATAGGGAGACTTTTGCAGGATAGTCATCAGTGGTGTGATTTTTAACTTATCTAAATAATTTTTCAGTATTTTAAAATCTTTCATATTTCCATAAACCATAGCTTTCCACATTCAAGAGGATCTGCAAGGACCCATTGAAATTGAAGTACAAAAATAATGGAGAAGCTGTCTGGTTATTCTTTCAATTTAACCAGGGTCTTCAATATTATTGAAGGAAGAAATCACAATGGAGATGTCTCTTTATTTGTTTTATGTAACTAAAAAGAGATTTAAAAAGTTACCTTCCACTGACAAAAATACTGAAAATTGCTATTTTAAATATTAGGTGTCACTTCTGCTTTAAAGCCAAAATAACTATGGTGGATCAGTACAAGATCAATCTTTTAAAATGTACTTCTGTGATAAGATGGAGAAAATTTGATCACTGACCATATTCTGATCTGTACAGATATGCCATTTCTGTGTCTATTCTACTTTCTTTTAAGGTTTTGAGTTTATCCGTTGTTTACTTGTTACTTTGACATCTTTTGATGAACATGCTAATAATTTGATGGATAAATCACTATGGAGGAAAGTGCCCTGTACAAAGTGAACTTCCATACTTTTTCACATTCTTGTAGATCACAATTCTCTCCTAACCCTGGGTCTCCTAGTGCCAGACTGGTCAAGTGAAAAATTCTCGAAGTTACCTTGCTAAGTATAGATTCAGCAGTAGGTTACTTTTTCACTAATTTTTAGTAGAGCTAATCTTCCTTTAGAACTATTATTTATTTTAAGAAGAAAAGTGTTTTTGGCCATAAAAAGTTTAATGTATGATATAGATTTTTGTAAAAAAGATATAGAGAAAATTTACTGGAACTAATCTACAAGCAGCAGCATTGACATGACAGTAAACATAAATGTAGAAAGGAAAAGATCTGTTTCTTTTTTCCCTGCCTGTGTATACTTCCATTAAATGTAGTCAGATGGAATGGCATATGAAAATGTTTGCATCTGTAGGTGTATTGGGCCTTTGTGTAATATTTACGCATTGAGGGAGTTTTCCAAGTTTTTTCTCTGTATTCTACTGGAATTTTTAAATACGTTCGCTAACTTCATTTATATTAACAATTTCTGACAATCTTTAGTTGTCCACTGTTCTAGACTCTGGTCTGTTTTAGAGCTATGTCATGAACATTTAAGCATTTTGATGTAGTTAATTTTCTCTGTATTTTAAATAAATAAATAAATACTGGAGATATCCTATCTCCTAGAACTGGAAGGGACCTTGAAAGGTCCTTCATCCTTCATTTTCCTTCATCCATCAGAAGATAAAATAGATGACCAAATTCCTTCTGTAATGGCATGTTTATCATGCACCTATTCTTTGTTATTACATTTCTACAGTTTGTGCTTTGATGTTAATATCTTCATTTATTTACATGGTTTTTCAGATGGGGCACCCAGGCATGCCGCATTATCCACCTATGGGAATGCACCCAATGGGCCAGAGACCACCGAATATGCCACCAGTTCCGCATGGAATGATGCCTCAGATGATGCCTCCAATGGGAGGACCACCAATGGGGCAGGTAAGGCAGCTTATCTGTGTTGTCCACCCACCTCCCCCCACCCCCCAACAATGATCTGAGAGAATCCTAAAGACAGGTAAGTCTCCCAGAGTTGCTTGGAAATAATAATATTAATAAGAGTACTTGTGGCACCTTAGAGACTAACAAATTTATTAGGCAGTAGCCCACGAAAGCTTATGCTCTAATAAATTTGTTAGTCTCTAAGGTGCCACAAGTACTCCTGTTCTTTTTGCGGATACAGACTAACACGGCTGCTACTCTGAAATAATATTAATAGTCATTAAAATGTAGTGTTTCTATAGCATCATCCATTGGTAATGCAGTAAGTACATTTGTAACAAAAACAATGAAATGTCTTGTGATTTCAAAATTTAAAATGAAAAGATCCGGTACTTGAATTCATAACTTTTGTTATTGTTAGGTTAGACAGTATTCTGTTAGTCTTTCAGATAAGTTGCATCTAGCAGTGTGCAGTTCTAAAAGCCAAAAATCCTGAAAACAAACAAAAAACTCCCCTTTAATTCTAGCAAGAGACTGTAGTGTGATAATGTTGAAGCTGGAAAATTTGTTTCTTTGACTCTGTGCTAAGAAAGTCTTATAACCACGGATAGAAGAAAATTACAGGAGATGGAGGGAAGAAATGTAAAATTCGTTGGTGCTATTCTACACTTCTGTAACATACTGTTATTTTTGCCCTGTTGTCAACATGATGCATGTCTTGAAAAATAAACTTGGACACTCAGTGGCAAGTATAAAATGTTGTTGGCAAGTAAAGGTGCCTATACATTTGTATATATTGTAAGCTTTCTATTTTTAACAATGAAAGTTCCTGTCCCTTATTAAGTAAGTTCTGAATTTGAAATGGGGCAGTTCCCTTCCTGAATATGCAGAAATCTCTAGTGTTGCTTCTGGTGATCCTGGCTTTCCTAAACAAAAGCAGAGTCAAATTGACAAGACAGAGGGGTAGAAAGGTGGGGGGACACCCTTCCTGCGAACATTGTGAGGAAGCTAAAGCAGATTAAAAATTACAAGACGCCTACTAGAAGGAAGCCAGTGTGAAAGATGGAGCCTCCTGCGAGAGGTAGGAATTCCATCACCGCCCCTTCCCAGAGTATTGGGGCAACCCCTGAATCTTAATGCCTGGAGGGTGGCTCACCTACACTATTAGTAGATGTAGGCCTGAAAGGTGTCTGATACATTTTTCATGCTGCAGTACACAGTATGACAGTCTGTTACATTGGATACATACCAGCTGCAAAGGGTAATGCAGTTTAAAAAGACAAAGGCAGATGGAGGTGGCGTGATGCAATGTGAAAACAAAGTGATTAGGTTGATCATAGGCACATATCTTACCAATTATGAGCATTTTTAAAA